TTTGACAATTTTTTGTTTTTAAGTCAAAAATTCAACCAAAATGTTTGTTTTTAAGTTCCGACCTGTTCTCCTATGATATATTTAGTTTAGCAACGTATTATTTACTTCAATGTGCTCCTTTGATACAGTTTGTGGTAACATGAAAGTTCTTATGAAACTGTACAGAGCAAAAAGATGTTGACAATGTTCTTAAATTTAAATTAGAGTATTAAAATACACACTCCAGAATACTTCTTGCTCAACACATTTATTCCTCCTATGAAGTACAGTGGATTATATACAGTTGTAGGACTGTATAATGCTTATGCGGTCCAATTAACTTCCCTATGATGGTAGCTTGCTTCATTTATAGCAGAGATGACAAGTCATGGAATGCATACTCAACGAAGAGCCATTTAATGATGGCCAGGAGGAGAGGATTCTGAAACAAACACACAATTTAGATTGTTCAAAAATTAAAGTAATATAAGTCTATAATTCAGGACAGATACAGTTAAGTATCCAAAGCTATGAATATCCAAAAATTAGATGAATCAGTACATCAAAGTATTTGAAAATTCTTCATATATCTACAAGTGTAGCCTAATATTTTAACATTTACATTATCAATATTATTGGTTAAATATGATTTCACAGGGAAAAATTAAAAAAAAAAAAAAAAAAAAAAAAAAAACTTACCTCTAAAGTCAGGATATATTTATGTGGGGTAAATAGTTATTGCGGTACAGTGCAATGGGAGGTATTTTAATTTTACCTGTAAGGTTAGATGACATGTCTTTATGTACAAAATTGACTCAATTTGGAGCAAGTGAATTGTCTATCTTTGCAGTCAGGATTGAAATAAGACAATTGCATTAGTGGAGGAGTAATAAGAAAATTATGACTTTAAAATAGTCACAAGCAATGATATACTTAAAAATCTTAAGGATTGCATATTAAACTTTTACAAAAAATAACGTTAAAATGAACTAGTTTGTTGATAGCTAAAAATGGTAACCTAGTTAAAATTAAGGTCTACCAGGTTAGATTAAAAAAACCCCTCTATAAAATGGTTAAACCCATTGAATATATATTTTAGAATTCTTTTTTAAAAAGTTACTCTCCTGAACTACCACTACTGTTCTGTGGCAGAGATTAACTTAGTTTATTACACAAAGGAAAAAGTATCAATGGAAAGTGGAGCATTTTACAGATGTACAGCTACGTTACCAGGGTTGTAAACACTCTGACAACCATATCAGAGTAATAGAGAGAAATGTAACAAAAACTGAAGGTTCCCTTTAAGGTCTACTTTGCAATATCCATAATATAAAAACAAACTAAATTTAAATTAAAATTAATATGTTGGTCTATTTGCTTTAAATCTTATTCATGGTTAAAATAAACTATAGAATACTCTGCTGTATAAACACAAATACTTACTGTCTGCCACTGCTTTTTTACCTAGAAACAGAAGAAAAATTGAAATGTTCAAAATTTAGCTTTGCAGTTTTCACTTTCATTTTCAAGTTTTAAGCTCCTGAAAAACTAGTATGCAACCGAACTTGGACCAATTTGCAGTGATGACAGGAAATGTACACGTTCTGAAAAGTTAAGCATACTGCAAAATATACTATCAAAACAAGCTGTTTAAAAAAATCAGTATATACTGTAATTTTTTTATAAATGTAATAAAGTGTTATAAGATCTCATTATAGCATGCTGTTAAATCTTTGAGATATAAGGAGTGTTTTTGGAAGAATTACTTAAATTAAGGCTATAATGCTTTTAAAAATATATATATTTATACACATTAAGACTTCTAACTGTAAGTTCACAAGTTACCCAGGGGAGAAGATTGCACAAGTTTGTATAATCATGTGCTGTACGTTTAGAGATATTTATCTAGATTCTCTGGTGACACATGATTACTTTAGGCCATATTGTTGGTTTATCTGGCCACAGGAAGATTTTCCTAGTGCAAAGGCGTAGAGCAGGGATCGGCAACTTTTGGCATGCAGCCCGTCAGGGAAATCTGTTGGTGGGCCTGGCTGGTTTACCTGCAGCGTCCACAGGTTCGGCCGATCGCAGCTCCCGCTGGCCACGGTTCACCGTTCCAGGCCAATGGGGGCTGC